AACACCTAAATAAACAGAATGATGAAAAAAGGACCCATGTTTCATCATTCTGCTTCATTCTATCTCTATACTCCCACTAGGCAGAATCTGTTAGTTCAATCTCTAACGTTCTGCTCTCTCTGCTTTTTCTCATAGTAGCTTCATCTGGTCTGTTCCTGTTTGGCTGTGACTCCATCCTGGAGAGAAATACCAGCTGTGCTGCTGCCATTAACACCTTTTTTTATAGATATTGGAGATCTGCCTGTTTTTCAGTGTAGCCCTGTTTCTCTCCTATTGCTATAGGCTTACCTTTAACTGTGAATAACTGGGTTTGAACGTGTTGTGAACTGGCTGTGCATAAATAACCTGCTTTGAATCGATAACATCATGGTGGACTGAGTGTCTTTGCTGTAAGTTGTTTATTTCATCATGAGGGTTTTAATTTGGGAACCTTTAATTTTTTTTCAAATGTAAAGATGAGGACATCTGAAGCTCGATCCTAGTAAAAACAGTCGAACTGTTCCTAAACTCTGGGTTAGAGATGTAGCTAAAGCTGGTTTCTAAGCGTTAACTCAGTTGAGTGTTGTAATAATTTATAACTCATCTTATTATTGGATATCTGAGGATAGTTTATCTTCTTTCAGTGACTACATTCTGAGCTCCACATTCAACAAGGATGGTGTCAAAACATTTCCTTTTTCCAGAGCCTTCCTGAGCAGAATGGACGTCTCATGCTTCCTCCTACCTGTGCGGGTGAGGGAGCTGCTCTTGGCCGCCGCGGCCGCAGACGCGTCGTTCCTCTGAGGCGTGCCCTCCAGCAGGTTGTGCAGACTCCGGAAGCTGCCGGTCAGGTTGCTGAGGAGGCTCTCTTTACGTGGGCTGTCCTTGGCCGGCAGGCCGGCGCGGCTCACGTGGGCCGGCGAGTCGGCCGCCGTGTCGCCGCTGGTGTAGCTCAGTGACTGGTAGGGATGGGAGCCCTGGGTTTGACAAATGTGCACAAGGGTGAGAGGAGGTTATGTTCCCGGCGGCTGATTTCTCACGGGCCGCTGTGGAGGTGGGGGTAGGGGGGTTCGTTTAGATGACAAGCAAGACAGATTGTGTCTGGAAAATGATGTGAAAAGGCTGCATTCAAAGTGGAGGTAATTCTTTCTAGATGAAGGAGCCGAGCCCGGCCCAGACTGAGAGCGAAGAGAGTTTAACAGATGGCGTCGCCTCGTCAGGCTGACTGATATCAGAGCTGCTGCCTGGATCTATCAAATGTCAGAAGCTTTTAGCTAAATGCCGACAGTATCTTCCCAAAACAGAAAACCAGCTGAAGAAACTCAGAGAGATGAAGTCCTTAAACTTTCAGGATTTTTTTCACTTCAAACCAGAACACACCAAATTCTATTTTGCAGGCGATCCATCAGAAAATCGTGTTGGACGAGGTGGAGGCATTTAGCGTTCATTCACATTTTCTGCAGGGGGCAGTGTAGCTCCGACTGAGACAGAGCCCAGGTTTATTTTATTCGGACTGTGCAGCAATTCACCAGCAATTTCATGGGTCTGACAGGAAGAGAGACGCCGTTACAAAGTAAAAAAACATCCGCTTTGGGGGAAAATACAAAATAAAATCTCTTAATCTAACGGGGAAAGAGTCAGTTTGGAGTCGCACATCACATACATAGTTCCAAAAAAATAAAAAAAATAATCCACTGGACTTTGTTTCCAAGTTTGAAGACGTTTCTCTTCCATCCAGGAAGTTTTTTTCAATTCAAAATGTCAGAAATAGTGTTGAGTTCCAGGCTTTAAAGAGTGGACCAAATCAAAGCCTTGCTTTGGTTTAGAAAACATGCAAATTGAAACAGATGAACGGGTCGACCCTTTGGAATGGGTTCTTTCTTAGCCTGCAATAGCCCATACCTGTCTATAGCCCCATTTACACTACCCTTGAAAAACCGATCCAGGCCCAGACCAATCCGAGCTTGGATCGGTAACCAGGCCAAGCTCAGTTTTGACGACCGTTCACACGTCACACTTATCTCGGTTATCTCGACTCCTCGCCTCCTAGTGAC